GACTGAGGGATTTGAAGCCCTACTGGGAAGGTCAGCGCTGTTTCCCCCTGTAGCTGTGTGTGGTCCAATAGCAACCGATTCATAGCTGACCTTCTAGTGGGTTTTTATCTCTCTCTTGCAGAGCAGCTGAATGATTCAAACTGCCTGCCTTTGAGTTGGCATCACAACTACTTACCCACTAGACCACCGGGGCTCCCTTGCCCTTGTAGGGCGTCAGGCAAATAAATATCACTTCTCAGGTATTTGTTAAGTGTTACCGTGACAGCCAGCTCCAGCTGGTGGCTATAGCCAGCATTCTGAGAGACACAGAGGCAAGTATTCAGTCAGTAGCAGCTCACGTCGTTGCTGCTCATCTCTGAGCCCAGAGCAGCACCCAGTGAGGAGGGTGGGCACCTTCAGGGTGATGCCCTGGCCCAAGCCGCGTCCCTCTCTGCAGGCCCCCAGTATGGAACTCTGGAGAAGGCCTGGCATGCATTCTTCACGGCGGCCGAGCGTCTGAGCGAGCTGCACCTGGAGGTGCGGGAGAAGCTGCAGGGGCCCGACAGTGACCGGGTGCGCACCTGGCAGCGGGGGGCCTACCACCGGCCTGTGCTGGGGGGCTTCCGTGAGAGCCGCACCGCCGAGGACAGCTTCCGCAAGGCCCAGAAGCCCTGGCTCAAGCGGCTGAAGGAGGTGAGGCCGGGAGGTGTGGGCATCAGAGGGCACCCCTTCCTGGTCTGCATGAGGCCCAGAGGGGCCTGGGAGGCCAGGCTTGAGTTGGCCCCATGCTCGCCAGGTTGAGGCTTCCAAGAAGAGCTACCACGCGGCCCGGAAGGACGAGAAGACCGCCCAGACCCGAGAGAACCACTCGAAGGCCGACAGCGCAGTCTCGCAGGAGCAGCTTCGGAAGCTGCAGGAGCGTGTGGAGCGCTGTGCCAAGGAGGCTGAGAAGGTACCGTGGGCCCCTCTGGCGCCCGCCTTCCCCACCGATGGCTAGCGCACCTTCCTTTTTGTGTAACCATTGTTGGGTGCACATTCAAGTAGAACTACTCAGAGTTTTCTAGGCCCTGATCTTTGTGGAAACAAACTATCAGGTCTTTCTGGGTGAGTTTGAACCACCAAACTTTCTCTTAGGACCCTAGCACTTAATCTCAGCCCAAGCAGAACTCCTTTAACTTATTTCAAAATTTAATTTTATTGCTGTTCTTGTGGATACACATGGCAGAAGCTGTCCCACATCAGCACTATCTCCATGGACGCTCAGTGCCTACTTCAGTAGCGCAGCCATTCTCAGCCTTCTTCCCTGGGTTATTCCTCTCCTGTTTACAGGCTCGCTGCTCCCTCAGGCCCTTACCTGATTACTCTTGTCCATCGATCCCATCTAGACAGTTCTTAAAAAGCATAAAGCTCAAAGTAGACATTTTCTGTTTTTAAAAGATTATGGTAGGTATGTCTAAGTGTGCTCTATTGTACATAGGGTTTTTGAAGGCCTGTAATTTCAGAAGTTGATGGTCAATCCTTCTTCCTAGTCTGTCTCAATTTTTAAATAGATATAATAGTATCTGACAGACAAGCATTCTACAGAAAAGAGCAGATGAAAGACATTTACCAGCTAGAAGAAGACCAATATTCAATGTTGCTGACCACCCCACTACTTTGGGCATTACTTTGGGCATGTTGCAAGGAGGGACTGGTCCTGGGAGAGGGACATCATGTTTGGGAGAGTGGAGGGACGGCACAGGAGAGGAAGACCCTCGATGAGATGGATCGATTCTGTGAGTGGAGTGGTGGGAATGAATGTATTTTAGATGGCTAGGTTGGCACAGGATAGAACGGCATTTTGGGCTCTTGTACATAGGGTCACTGTGAGTCGCAAGCGACACAGTTGCTAGTTCCATATTCTTAACCTGCACAGTTCGTTGACATTATCATGTTTATCTTGTTGTTCAACCATCACTACTCTTATTTCCAGAATTTTCCAGCATCTCAGTTGCTTGTTTCCTAAGCAATTTCCTCCTTTCTCCTGCCCTCGTTCCTGCCCCTGATAAGCATGAATAAACTTAGGTGTCTGTCCACTTATCTCGATATTTCACATAAGCTCAATCAGCATTCTTCGTACTTTACAATTCACCTGCCACCCTCTCTCCTCTATCCTTTACAGGAAGAACTGGGGAAATCCGGGGGGAGTCCTGGGGGAAAGGTGATAGGACTTGTTGTTAGGTGCTGTCGAGTCAGCTCCAACTCATAGTGACCCACAGAGAGGGACAGTGGGATTTTAGATGCTGGCCTGATTTTAGCAAGTGAAGACCCCTTCCAGCCCCTCTGCTTTTGTAGTGTCCCACTTGGCATGAGTTCTTCCATCGCCAGCTCTGCCCAGAGTGCCCCTTCCTCCAATTCTGCATATCCAGATCTGCCCCCTTGATGGGGTGCTGCTCAGCTTCCACCTCTTCCAGGAAGCCTTTCTTGATTTCTCCCACACTTCCCCTTAGGGTGACCTGGTCTTATTCTCATCAGACTCTTAGAGATGCTCTGATTGAATGTCAGATCCTTCACTAGGCGACAAGGGTTCTTGAAGGCAAGAGTCTTCGGACTACCTGCTTCTGGTGCCAGCCTAGTAGATGCTGGTGGAGTGCTGAAGGCAGGCTCAGGATATGCTTAGTGGTGTCCTGGGTGGGACATCACATCCTCACCAAGCCACCTTCCCTCTCACACAGATGAAAACCCAGTATGAGCAGACACTGGCCGAATTGCACCGCTACACCCCACGCTACATGGAGGACATGGAGCAGGCTTTTGAGGCCTGCCAGGCTGCCGAGCGTCAGCGGCTGGTCTTCTTCAAGGACGTTCTGCTCACGCTACACCAGCACCTGGACCTCTCTAGCAGTGAGAGGTGTGGCCTATGGGGCGAATGTGGAGATTGGGGGTAGTTCTGGGTCTCCTTTGTCTCCCCTGAGTAATGGGATTTGGGGATGCTGGGACCTCTGGCTGCGCTGAGGGCTTTGCTTGTGATCACAGGTTCCAAGAGCTTTATCGCAACCTGCGCCAGGGCCTTGAGGCGGCCAGCGATGAAGAGGACCTGCGCTGGTGGCGTAGCACCCATGGGCCGGGCATGGCCATGAACTGGCCGCAGTTTGAGGCATGTGTTCCAGGTTGGGGCTGGGGGGGCTGCCACCAGGCTTGGCACAGGCCAGGGCTCAGGCTGACATGGATTTCTCCTGGGCTTTGGGTGACCTGTCTGTCTGCCACTTATGCTCTGCAGGCCAGCTTGACCCTAAGCACTGTCTCCACAGGAGTGGTCCCTGGACACACAGAGGATGATCACCCGGAAGGAGAAAGGGGGCCGGAGCCCTGATGAGGTTACCCTGACCAGCATCATGCCCACAAGAGATGGCGCTGCACCCCCACCCCAGTCCCCAGGGTCCCCAGGGTGAGAGCCAGGAGCCCAGCTGTGGGAATGAGACAGCTTTGCCCCCTGCCCTGCCCTCCTTGCCTCTGTTTCCTTCACCTCATTCCCTTTATGCTACAAACAAAAAACCCAAACCCAGCTGACTCACAGATACCCTTAGGCTGGAGTAGAACTGCCCCAGAGGGCTTTCAAGACCATAAATCTTAACAGAAACAGATCTTCCTTCAAAGCAGGTACACTCAAACCATAAACCTTTTGGTTCATTCTTGCCAGAGAGAGGTTAAAAATTGCTGCCAGGAACCTTAAGGGTTAGTTGTAGTTGTTGGGGTGCCACTGAGTAGATTCCACCTCACGGTGACCCCATGTGACATAGGAGAACTTTGTCCCATGGAGTTTTCCAGGCCCTTATTCTCACAGGAGCAGTTTGCCAAGTCTCTTGTAGGGTAGCTAGGTGGATATAAATGGCCAAACTTTCAGTTAGCAACCTCCCTGCTTTAACTATTGTGCCATCAGAGCTCTAGGGCCTGCTTACCTGTAAAACTAGTTCTCATAGTGGTCTTGGTTTGCCAGGTGTTTCCCACTTTCTTTTTCACACCAGCTCAATGTGGCAGGAATTCCTCTTTACTCACTGGACTAGACTCTCACAGGTCTTCCTAACCCTGTGGTTCCCAGAATTCTCAGAGGGGACATCATTAGCCCCAGTTGTTGTTGTTATGTGCCATCAAGTGGCCTGTGACCCATAATACACAGCAGCTCTGAACCCTGCCCTGTCCTGAGCCAGTTTCGCTAATTCTGACACACCAACTCCCACTGCCCCAGTCACTGTATCAATCCACAATTCAGGCCCCTGGCCTTCCTGCCTCTTGAGCATGGCTCTCTTCTGTCTCTTTTCTGCAGCAGTAGGCAGGATGAGGACTGGTCAGATGAAGAGAGTTCCCGGAAGACCACCACTGGAGTACGAGTGAGGGCACTCTACGATTACGCCGGCCAGGAAGCTGATGAGCTGAGCTTCCGAGCAGGTGACTTGGGACCCCCTTTCTGTTGCTATCCAGGTATAAATTCCCCTCAAGCACTGGTCTGGATGAGAGAAGCCAGATTCTCTCTTCTTGAGGCTCAATGCTCTGACTCAATGCTCTGACTGTTCCGAGTCCAGTGTCCAGAAGTCAGAGTGTCCTTGCTGAGTCCCCACCTGCCTCACCAAGCCATTCACTGGGGCCTGGTGGCTGACTTTGGCCAGGCCATGCCTCTTCTAGCTGGGTTTTCACACTGCCCACTCTTGCTCAATGCATGACCCAGTTGCAGGAAGGAAGGCTGGGTCAGGGCACTTGGCAGTGACCAGTCCCTTTCCCCCCCAGGGGAAGAGCTACTGAAGATGAGCGAGGAGGATGAGCAAGGCTGGTGCCAGGGCCAGCTGCAGAGTGGCCGCATCGGCTTGTACCCTGCCAACTACGTGGAGTGTGTGGGGGCTTGACCTGCCTTGACAGCCCTCCTGCAACATGTCTCCATCCTGGGTCAGAGCCCAGCTTCTCCTGGACAGCCTGACCTGAGGATCCTAGACCATGGTGCCCTTGCTGCCCCTCTGTGTCCAGAAGCAGAAGAATCCAGGGACCCAGGGAGGGGAGGGGCTTATGTCTGGGAAGAGACTGGTAGGGAATGGCCAGCTGAGTCTCTACTGAGGGCAAGATAGGGCACCCAGGAGGTGACAGAGGACTCAGGGGTGTCTGGGCTTCTTTGATGAGCTGTGGGCCCAGCTCCTAGCCTCTGTGATTTGGGATTCTTGGGGTGGGGTTGGGGTGAGTGTAGTTTCGGGCTAGCAACACCTTTTGTTGTGGCTTGTTGTAGTGTGTATTAAACTTGAAAGAGGAAAAACTACTATTGGTCTGGTGTTACTTTTTTTTGGACACTCCGTCCACCCTTGCCTGGCCTTCGGAGGGCATCTGGAGCAAGGCATGGAGAGAGATCCGCGGGATGACAGTACATTACAGGATCGTCATGGTGTGCCGGGTAGTATATGTTTCTGGGATTTCGAGGAACTTGACCTACAGCCATATAGCTCCAAGCTGGCACTTGGGACCTAAGTTTTGTGCTGGGCAGGCGCCAGGTCAGTAAGTCTCTTCAGGCTCATCGGAGAGGTTCAAGTTCACTGCCATCTTCTAGTTCCTAGTTGGAGCCACTCTTCAGGGGGTTTTGGAGTGTGACATTCATTAACGCTCCTCGGTGCATCCTCAGTGACCAGCGCTCCGCCCCTTGTAGCTCCGCCCCCGGGGACGTGGCCCCACCTCCTAGGCGGGCCGAGACGTCAGGCGAGCGATCCCGAGGTGGTTTGGGCCAGCCTGCCACCCGTCCCGGCTTCTGATTGGCTCCGGCTCGGCGCGGCGTTGATTCTAGGACCATTGTGGAGGCGGCGTTGCTGACGTCGCTGTTGCTGTTCTGCCGGCCGCTCATTGGTCCAGCGCGGGCCCAGGCCGTACCACCCCTCGGTTGAGAAGGGCAGGGCCGAGGCCCACCCGGTTAGCCCGCCTTCCCAGCCAAGATTGGTCCGTGACGGGACCCGTCGGTCGCGGTTGTGCCTGGGAAGGAGAGAAAATGGCGGCGGAGCCGAGCAAGACCGAAATCCAGACTCTTTTTAAGAGGCTTCGCGCGATTCCAACCAACAAGGTGCTGGGGCGGGAGGCGTGCGGGGCCTGGTTCTGGCCGAGAGAGACCCTCCTGGTTTCCCTGGGGCCTCCAGTTTGAATCCAGAGAAGGGGAAAGGTGGTGGGGGGGCTGTTTTCCAGGGATGCCAGCGACCGGCGTCGACTCTGGGCCCCTGATCGTTTGCTCATCGCCTCCTCTACCCAGGCCTGCTTCGACTGCGGCGCCAAGAACCCGAGTTGGGCCAGCATCACGTATGGTGTCTTCTTATGCATCGATTGCTCCGGGGTTCACCGCTCACTGGGCGTTCATCTCAGCTTCATCAGGTGAGCGTCCCGCTGGCTGCAGTGTTTTCTAACATCTGGTCATCCGAGGCGGTGGTCACTGGGAGGACCGCCCGGAATTCGGGGTTCGGCCACCCCCGGAGGGCTCTTTGTGCCTCGGTCGGAATTCCTTGGAGGTCAGGTTCGAAACTTGTTAGCGTTGGCATGAGGGGAAGGGAGATGTTAGCTGCTTTGACCTTGTTGTCACTGGTGCGTTGGCAGAATGTGTCAGAAGTGAGATTGTGACCATACTTAAGAGAAAAGCCTAATTCCAAGATTGGGAATTCGACCCCTTTCGGATCTGGAGACATAATTAGTACCTTTTAAAAAAAAAAAATGAGCGGAGCTGGGTGGACTGGGAAGAATGGAGGAAATGGGGGTGGTGGTTGAGTAATGTTTCCTGGCTGCCCAAGGCCAAATGATAGGTGTGGGTCTGCCAGGGACGCTTCCCCCTGGTGTCTGCTGATGGGTGACACGCAGCCCTTGCTTGCAGGTCCACAGAGTTGGATTCCAACTGGAACTGGTTCCAGCTAAGGTGTATGCAGGTCGGCGGGAATGCCAATGCGGTAAAGCTGCTTCTACAGCTCCCCCTCTGTTACCTTCTGCCTGGGTACTGTGTGGTGACTTCCTAGGAGGGTCTCCCTTTCCCTGTTCAGGGGGGATCTTGGTCTGTAACAACACTGGACATTATACTCTTAAATGTGGGAGTTTGTCACAGGTCTCTTCAAAGGGACTTCAGGCTTCAAGCAAACTGGACAGGTGGTCTCAGGGAAAGACCAAGGGAGCTGGGGCTATGGCTTTGTGCACACAGCATGGGTAGTGTGGGTTTACATGCTGTCCTCAGGCCCAAGGACTGGGCTCCAGTTAGTTATAACAGGACAAGAATCTGTGCCTTTTTTTAGTAACTTTTTGTGGAACTTTATCACTTTGTAAAACTTCAGGTGTCAATCCTGTTTAAGTAATAACTGTTACAAAGTGGTGTTTTCTACAGCTAGTCCATTTCTTTTTTTCTGGTGAGAAGAAGCAATCACCTGTAGCATTCTCTTCCCTCTTCACTCCTCAGACGGCTTTCTTCCGCCAGCATGGATGCACAGTCAACGATGCCAACACCAAGTATAACAGCCGAGCCGCCCAGATGTACCGGGAGAAGATCCGGCAGATGGGCAGTGCCGCCCTGGCCAGGCATGGCACTGATGTAAGTGCTGCTTCTAGAAGTGGGGCGGGAGTGGGAGCGTTCAGAGCCTTGTCTTCAGGGGTGCCTTTTCCCTTCTAGCTTTGGATAGACAATATGAACAGTGCGCCCAGTCATTCTCCAGAGAAGGAGGACTCGGATTTCTTCACGGAACACACTCAGGTGAGTGCCTGAAAGGCATACTTGCCTGACAAGTAGTTCACTTAGTCCAGGCCATGGTCTGTGTCGATCCTGGGCCCGGCGTCCATTCCTTGGTGCAGTGCTGTGGAGAGGGGATGTCTGGACCTCCTGAGTTGGTCACTGGGGCCTGCTGGGTGGACTAGGTGTTCCCACGTCCCATGAATCAGGGTACAAAGGATGCTTTCTTAGAATGGACTCTTGTGAACTGGAGATCAGGAAGGAGGAGACAGCTTCTTGAGGGACTAGTGTTCTCTAAGTTTCCAAACTGCTTTCCTGGGATTCTCTCCCTCTGAGGCAGGAACTGGGAGAAGGAAAAGGTTCCCCTCCTGTAACCCATTCCTGTGAATCCTGTTTCTACTCAGCGACACTGGGCACTGAAGTGTTCCTTTCTATCCCTGCTCCCTTACTTAGCGAATTTGTGGTGTTGGCCAATCACTTACTTTCTCTGAGATAAAGGTGTATTCACTTCACAGGGTTTGTTGTGATAAGTAAATATGTTTATATATGTAAAGACCTTCAACTTGTGCCTGCCCCAAGGAAAGGATTTAGTAATTGTCATCTAGTTGATTCCACATCATAGGGACTATCCCCCACTTTTCTTCTTCAGCCAGCAGCTTGATACTTCATGCGTTATGCTATGTCACCATGGTTCCTTTCCTAATAATTATTACTGGAACAGCAGTAAACATGCAATTGAGTTTAGCCCAGCTCAGAGTGACCCCTCCATTGAGCTGACAAGGCTGTAAAGCTTTATGGGAGTAGATGGTCCATCTTTTTCTTGCAAAGCGGCTGGTGGATGGGAATGGCTGACCTTTGAGATAGTAGCCTGATACGTTAAGTACTCTGCCTCCATAATTTTTGTTGTTGGTGTGCCCTGTTGAGTTGGAATGGACTCGTAGCTGACTCTCCTGCAAGTTTTCATATTAGTATATTGCACAGGAGGAGAGAGCTCATCTCTTCCACAGAACAGCTGGTGGACTCAAACCAAGTGCCTTTGAGTTGGTACTGCGGTTCCTTACCATTAAACCATCAGAGCTCCCCCGATCATTTTTAGAGGTTATTAAACTAGAGAATGGACTTGGTCCCAGTAAATAGTGGAGGGGTAGGGTGGGCTGCTCTCCTTTCTCGGTGGTGTACTGCAGTCGTGGTTCTACTTGCCGACATCTAAATCCCTTTTTCTCATAAGCTTGGAGCAGGGCCTTGCCCCTACAGGTACCTCGAGATAGGTTCCTGATGCCCCTTGGCAGCAAGAGTGGCTTGTTGAGGGGTCTGTGCTCTGGCCTCTTTCAGCCCCCAGCCTGGGATGCACAAGCCTCTGAGCCCTCAGAGCCCCAGCAGCCAGTCCCGCCTGCAGAGAGCAGTAGCCTAGCAGGTGAGTTTGGCCCAGATGCCAACCAAATTTTTCTGGTCCTGGGAGAGAAAAGGGCACTTGAACAAAGGAATAGGATTGGGCCTTTCTTGCTCTTTGGGTGCTCTGGGATTCCTTCTAGTCTCTTGGAGGAAGCGATGGGCATTCATTTTCCTTCTGGTGGCCTCAGTGCTCCTACTGTTGTCCTATTGCTTCCCTTAGGGGGAGGTCACAGGAATCATTGAGCCTTACATCTAACTGCCACCATTGTACCCACAGCCCCAGAACTCGGCCCCAACACAGACCTGCTGGCCACCTCACCCAAAGCCTCTCTGGGTCAGTATGCTAACTCATGGGCATAGGGTTGGCTGGGCGAGGGTGGGCCTTGGTGGGTTTAGATCTGCGTCTGCTTGGTCACTGGACCAAGGCGATGAGCAACTGAGCGTTTGACTTCTGTGGAGGGATGACAGTATGAAATATTGGCTATACAAGTACCTGAGAACCAGGCCCTTGGGGTGGTGAACTTAGTGTGTGGCGTGGAATATCTGGGCTCTGCTAGAGGATGGGGTCTGGCCAAAGTGTGAGAAAGCCAGCTTGGACTGGACGCCCAGCCTTGGGGTTAGCCATTGCTTGCTTTTGGTGAAGTGGTATATAACTCTGAGCTGCTGCAGGCTAGGGGTGGCGATGGCCTTTCAGCCATTTCCTGCCTGTCATTTACTTTACGCTTTCCTTGGTGTCATTCAGTCTTGGTTCAGGGTGAACAGCCCATTCACTGACTTAGTTTGTTCTTGTTCTCCTGACACTTGGGGTTGGGGCAGGAAGCCAGCAGCATGATTTGTTTTAGGCTGACCCCACGGGAAGTCTGGCATGAATTGGTCTGTAGAGGTTTGTGGGGTCACTTTGGCCTCTGGGCTTGAGAGTTATACGGAGGTGCTGGGATGGGCACCTTGCCAGCCACACGTTTGTCTCTCCTCCAGAATTCATGTTTCTGTCAGCTCAAGGGGCCCTTCCTGCCAGAGGTAACCAGCAGCCTCGGGGAGCTGGCCCCTTGTTCACCAGCTCCCTACTGTCGCTGGCTGAGGCTTGGTTTGGCATCTGCGCCCTCCGCCTAGCAGTCTTCCTGGTGCCTCAGGTCTAGGCTCCTTCTCAGTTGGGTGGACGTTAGGCAGCCTCCCCTGGCCTCTCCGTCATTGGCTCGTACTGGCCTGGGTGGAGCTGGTGGTGACAGCTTTGCCGTCCTCTGCCTGAACCTGTTCTTTCTCGAAGCTCTTGCTGTGAAGCTGCATGGTGTGGACTGAGTTGCTGGCTGCTGCCGTCTTTTCTTCTAGCTCATGCTCATCCTCTTTCTCACACAGAACCGAAGACCGCCATCATTGGCAAGAGGAAACCAGCAGCAGCTAAGAAAGGGGTAGGTGGGGAGAGGGAGTTTGCTCGTGTCGTTGGGCACTGGAGCACACTGCTCGCTTTCATCCTTTGATCCAGCCACTTTCTGGCCATGTGACTGTGGAGAAAGGCGAGAGGTCCTCTGTAAAAATGCTTCTCTCCAGGGAGCTCCTGGAAGGAGGCGGCGACATGCTGCACATCGAGTGCTTAACGGAGCACTTGGCAGTTAGGGTGAGCTGCCGTCTGCTGGCCGAGGGGCCACCTCGTGGTCCACAGGCTGCGCTCGTGCTCACTTCCCACTCTTCCCTCGTGGTCATGCTGACTGGGTTCCTGTTTCTTACCCCGAACTTAAGAAGGAACCCCTTGTGGGCGTGCTGGAGTGCTCGGGTGGGTGAAGTTGTCCTTGGCAAGGCCCCAGGTCATCTGATTCTGTCTCCCAGCTGGGCGCCAAGAAAGGCCTCGGGGCCCAGAAGGTGAGCAGCCAGAGCTTCAGTGAGATTGAGCGGCAGGCCCAGGTGGCGGAGAAGCTCCGGGAGCAGCAAGCAGCTGATGCCAAGAAGCAGGCTGAGGAGTCCATGTGAGTGTGTACCCCAGGGCCCTGGCTCCCTGCTCAGCAAGGAGCCTGGCGGGAGTGGGGTGCTGGGTGAGCAGGGAGGCCAAGATGGTGCCAACTCTGATGTGCTCATTTCCTCCAAGGGTTGCCTCCATGCGTCTTGCCTACCAGGAACTCCAGCTGGATCGTAAGAAGGAGGAGAAGAAGCTCCAGAATCTGGAAGGGAAGAAGCGAGAGCAGGCTGAGAGGCTGGGCATGGGTCTGGTTTCCCGAAGGTGAGGCTCCGCCAGGGATGCAGCAGAGAAAGGCCCTTGTTCTGGGAACCATCGCAGGTTCTTCCCAGCACTTTGGGATTCTAGGCTTCTCCTTTCTCGAAGGCTGAAGGAATCATTTTGCTTGTTGCTTTCAAGCACACAGTGCATATGGTAGATACGTGCTTAATAGGAGTCAAATGGATGATGTATAGGAACAGAAGCTATTGTGATAATATCCAAGGTCATAGGGCAGTGCTTTTCATTTTTCAGGGTGATACTTCTTTTGGGATGAGCTATAGGCATGTTGAGTGAGACCGTTTTATTTGTTGGAATCTGCCCAAGAGTCATCAGAGCTTTTAGCATTCATGGTGTCTGTCAGCTAAATGTCACTTGTGCTGTCTGGCACTGGCAACCCTTGAGGTTCCCCCACATCTCAGGTGCCTTCTGGTTGGGCAGTATTCTTGTGAGAACCACTGAGCTAGCGTTGCTGTGGTCTTCTTTAAAAACAAAAAGCGCTTGCAAACTAGCTCTCTGATGTATTTTGTTTGCAATGTGAGTTAAACACGAGAGACTTGAGGAATAACTCTGGAGTTTGGACAGCGCTGAGGCCTGCATTCCTGGCTGCAGTTAGCTGGTGCCAAGTGAGGCTTTCTGAGGGGACCTGGGCTTTACTGTTGATCTCAGTTACATAAACTGAAGAGGTCTATGAGGAGGATGCATTACTCGCTTTTTCCAGATGAGAAGTGAGAGACCAGTTTGCCTAAAACCCAGAAAGCTAGCAATTGGCAGAAATAGATTTTGAAAATAGACCTGTTACATGACGAATTTACTGGTTTTAGCTATTATGCTCTGCTCCCTGAGATGTGGCTGGCTACTTGCAGTCTTTCAGAACATGGGCCAATTGGATTTAAGCTGTTCCCTTCTAGTCTGTGTGCTATCAGTAAAACAAAATTTTAATCCAGAAATGGACTTAAATCTCCAGATTTTATCATATAGCAATTTAGTATATAAACAATTTTTCAGCTACTGGGGGGGGGAAATACGTATGTGTACATGCACACATACACTTTTCCCCCCATTATAACAGACTTTGTTATTTAAACTAAGCTAACTTACCCTATTTAAAGCCCTATGGCAGACTATTTACTGTTACGGTTTCTTACACTTAAAAATCTGTATAGCATCAAATGACTTTATTTACATCAAATTGATCAATCAGGTATCAAGCCTGGCCTTGCCCAATCTAAGGCCATTTGTCATTGCAAAGTTAGATATCAGAGCCAGGTTTTAGTGCATAAGGACAGTCTTGGTGTTTTGAAATGCTTTCATCTTAGAAAAAAAATGTGAATAGGGTAATTTTCCTTTGTTGCCACTAGACTAATTTCCTTGGTTTTGTTGTGTATTTCAGCTTTACACATATACACACACAAACACACACACATACTCTAACACACACACACACACATACTCACACACTCTTTCTCTCTCTCGATTAAAGGGTGTATGTACGGTTTTTGGTACAAGTCTCTGAGACTGATGACAGAGCATTATCCCTTGATGTATGTTAGTAGAATTTGAATAGGCACATAGCCATTTTCCAGGAGACCCTGCTTGGAGAAAGCAGAGCTGCTGTGTAAACAGTCCCTTTCCAGTTCAGCACCCTCTCCAGATGCCTCACTGTGTGCCCTGCTGGGTCCCTGCACTGGTGCCTGGCCCAGCCCTGTGCACAGGCAGGAGGGGAAGCGGGTTTATGTCAGTACTGGGCTTCTTTTCTTGTGCGCTGACCTCGGAGCTCCCTATTAGCCTCATGCCTGGTTTCTCCTTTGCCTGCAGCTCTGTCTCCCACTCCGTGCTGTCTGAGATGCAGGTGATTGAGCAGGAAACGCCAGTGAGTGCAAAATCCTCTCGCTCGCAGCTGGATTTATTTGAAGATGTTGGTACTTTTGCCTCTGGACCTCCCAAGTAAGGCTGTGATTTGGGAGTGGACTTTGCCTCCGTGCTCTTCATCAGCCTGCTCTCAGTCACAGTAATATCTTCCCAGGTACAAGGACAACCCTTTCTCCTTGGGGGACAGTTTTGGTTCCCGCTGGGACACAGACACTACCTGGGGAATGGACAGGGTGGAGGAGAAGGAGCCAGAAGTGACCATCTCAAGTATCCGGCCTGTTTCAGAAAGGTACTGTCCACTAGAATTTTCTTGATGGAAATGTTCTCTGTCTATGCTGGTCTGATATGGTAGCCATTAGGCATGTGGCTTTGGAGCCCGGGAAATATGACTCGTGTAATTGAGTTTTTACTTGTATTTGGTTTTGATATATTTTGGTAGCCACATGTGGTTAGGGTACGAAGCTTTGGTTTGAGCTGTGCTTCATGTCAGAGAACCTGCAGCCTCTTCTGACAGGTGGGGTCTGATTTCATGCATCACTCTTGACCTTTCAGGGTTGTGTCTTTGGTCTGTATCATATTTAGTAGTTTTTGTTTTTTAAAACAAAAAGTTTTTCATTAAAGCAATCTTTATTCCATACTAATCTGGCAGTTGGTAAATTTTCTGCAAATCATCCATTTATAAAATGGGGACCTAAAGTAACAACTTACAGGGTCACTGGGAGGATGACATGTTTTATAAAAACACCTGGCTTAGTGCCTGTGTATTCAGGGCTAGTGTCCAGGCTTGTTGCTGGTGTCTGCATATTAGTGTTAGATGTCCATAGTAGGATGTGTTTTAGAGTAAAAGAGGAGACGAGAGTGGGTATAATCTTGGACTTTCAAAGGCAGACTCAGACAGATGGTTGGTCACTCTTGTTGATGTGCACTGTCGAGTTGGAACTGACCCATAGCTGATCCTCTGGCAAGTTTTCGGAGGTATGGGAGAAGACTGCCCATCCTTTTCCTGTGGATTTGAACTGCCTTCTTTAGGGATTTTAGTGCAGCTTCTTAGCACTAGGCCACCAGAGCTCCTGTGGTCACTCTAGTGCCAGGTAAATGTTAACTGGTACGGGCAGTAGTGACATGACAACTTCCTGCACCATGATGTGAGCTAGAGTGACTTAGGACAGAAGCCCAGGCTCCTCCAGAGCACACCCCACTGAGCTTTGTACACTTGAGCTCCCTGGGCCTTGACCTCAGTGTGGAAGAGGAAGGAGGCACAGAGCAGCTCTTTGGCATCTGTTCATTCAGGGAGGGGGCCCTGCGCCAGGGAGCCACAGACAGTACCGCCATGGAAGTTCATCCCTGATTTTTTTTGGAAGATAAATAGAGGCCATTGGTGCTTGTCTTTGTACTGTGTCTCCTGATGGCAGTGGGAAGGGTTAGTGACCACCTACAACCACTCCTCAGAGTCACAAACCGGAGGGATGTGGAGAGCCGGAACACAGGCCCTGAGTCCAGTGAAGCACGCCAGAAATTTGCAGGAGCCAAAGCCATTTCATCTGACATGTTCTTTGGGCGGGAGATGGATTCTGAGGTGAGTGAATTGTAGTTAGAAGGGAGGGTTTCCTCCCTGTTGCAGCTCTGGGCATTAGCACAACATTGGTTTGGCCTGCAAGGGCCCTGCATCATTGGCCACAAGACCCCTCAAAGGCCTTGCCTTCTCTTCCCCGCAGTATGAAGCCAGGTCTCGGCTCCAGCAGCTCTCAGGCAGCAGTGCCATCAGCTCTTCAGACCTCTTTGGGGAGGTGGATGGAGCCCATGGAGCAGGTAAGGTTCACACAGCAGGTAACCATGGAGGCAGGTAGCAGAGCTGGCGGCCGGGAGGGCGTTCCCAGGGGCTCCGGCTCATTCCTTCCCTCCCCCTTTCACAGGTAGTGTATCTCTGGGGAATGTGCTTCCTACGGCTGACATCGCCCAGTTTAAACAGGGTGTCAAGTCTGTGGCTGGGAAGATGGCTGTTCTGGCCAACGGTGTGATGAATTCTTTGCAGGTGAGGCTGGGACTCCGCTCCCACACACTCACACACAGAGCTCCTGGGGAGCCACTCTTGTCCTTAAAAGAGAAATAGCATTTTCTTTTCTTGTATGGGCAGCTTCCTTTTTTTGAACTCTGTACCTGGGCTGCGGCCTCTCCTCGGAGATAACGCCATGTCCATACTAGCTCCCCATCCTGTCACCTCTGCTCTATCCTGTCACCTCTCTGCTCTTTCTCCCTCCCCAGTCCTGAGCTCTGTCAGGGCATCCCCCTTGGATTTGGGCCACGCTGTTTTCCCGAGTCACAGTAAAGCGTGGAGCTACCTCTGCTGCAGTGAGGCTGTCTGACCGCCCTCTGTCTCCCTGTGGCCGCTGCTGTGGCAGGAGCAGAGTCCGCTGCCGCAGAGCCTGTGGGTGGAGGGCATGTGCTTGCTGGAAGTGCTGCAGCTTAGACACTGACCTTGGGTTTTTTCTCTCCCCACTCCAGGATCGCTACGGTTCCTACTGATGGAAGCTCCGTGGCTCAGGCATATGGTGGTGACAGCAAGAACCCCGTGATTCCCAGGCCAGGGAAGCTTGCCTTGCGGAAGCTGGGAGGATTTGTTACTTTGTGTGTGTGGCGTGTGAGTGGGGTGGCCTCAGAGGATCTTGGGTCAGGGGAACGGTCAGTTCCAGCCTTGCCCCCTGCTGTGGATCGAGCCCCTTCTTCTCCCCCCACAGTCCCTCTCCTGTGTGCTGGGTTAGTGTTCTTTCAGTCCTGCCCCCAAAGCTGCTGCTCCCTTCCAGCCACTGGATTAGAGGAGAGTTCCCTCAGGAACGGCTTACTCGGGGTGCAGCCCTTCCCCGGGGGGCGGGAGGGGAGTGATAAGTATGATGTTTTTGCTGGCTCTAGGATCCTTCTGGGAAAGGGGAGGCTTGGCGAGTTGGGCCTCAGTCCTTTGGAACCAGTGGGGGGAGGCCTAGAAAGAGTCTGCTGTGGACCAGCCCCCAAGACGGTGTGGACTCGATGCTGCTGCCAGGCCTCTGTGATGGGCGAAGGTGGGGGAGCAGAAGGACCTAGGTCTTACTAAGGGCTAGAAACTTGACCTGGTACCCGAAGGTTTCATTTGGGATCAGACTGGAGGCCAGAATGCTCTTCTGTCTCAGCACCTCTTTCTATAGTCGTCACTTGGCCGTCACGGGATGATGACTTGCAGGTGTCTCAGAGTACTTCCATGCCATCTGCTCTGGACCAGAGACCCTCCCTCCCTCCTGAGATAGCTGTGCTGCTGCTTCCTTCGTTGGTGGCCACACTGGTCCTGATCTGCCTGCACCCCCACTCTGGACACTGAGCATTACTGCTGATCCAGGAAGCAGAGGCCATGAGGGATGGGGGTACCCGAACTCACCTCTTCCTCTGCACCGTCCTGGGCTTCGGGGGCCTGCACAGTACCCCACCAGTAAGAGCTAAAGGGCCACAAGGCTGCAGGCCTCTCCCTCTGGTAGCTGGGCCATGCACTGTGTCACTCGTGGTGCCATTTCCCCTGCTGGGCTGGCAGCCTGGGCCCAACCATTTTATGGGTTCTGGGTTGGGCACCCAAACAACACAGACCAACCACTTTTCTCCTCTGCCCTCCTCACCCCAAAGGACATGACTTTCTTTCTGGACTGTTTGTATTGCAAAAAATGGTGTCAAAATAAAGCCCCACAGGGCCCCGGGCTTCTGTTGGTCTGAGCTGAAGTACTGTCCTCTCTGGACCCTGCCCCCTTGTGAGCAGGCCCTTGGCTCACTCTCTGGCCTCCCACCGACAGGGGTAGGGTGATGGTGCAGAAGCTGAGGGCACTGTCTCCAGGGCCTCTGGTCTGTCTCTGTCTCTTCTCTGAAAGCCAAAGGCCCCTGGCTCAGCAGCCCTGTGCTGCCGCGAGGTCCTGTGCAGCCTCGACCTCACCACCCTGTTGCAGGCGGAGGAAAGAACTGGGATTAGTTGACTCTGTTAACTTGCCCACTGAGCCAGAGGCTGAGGGCAGGTGAGCACTCTGAGGAAGGCTCCTGAGGGTTCAGCTGAAAACCACTGTTCTGGGAAATGAGTGGTTAGGAAGGACAGCTCGAGGGAGCCAGGGGCTTGAAGCTCCTGAGCTCTGTTACGGATGGAGGCTTTGCAGGTCTGGAATTGGGGTCCATTCCACCCTGAGTCATCTCTAGAACCATTGCTCATCCCCAGATGGTTCACACCAGGATGCACTAGCTGGATGGTAGGGAGCCTGGGACCTCACCACAAGGCCTGGAGTGCCTTTTCCAGTCCTGGCCTGGGCCCAGTGATGTTGGCCCCAGTGTCATGCAAATTGAAGACCACCTGCCTTTACCTCCCTCAGTTCTTAACCTGTGAGGTTGGCTCCTCAGGCCAGTGTTTGCAGCTGTCCCCCCTCTTCCTAGCTCAGAGCAGGTGCTCGGTATATTTGTGAACCATCCTTGGCTAGCAGGCTGCTGCTAACCCTGCTGTCGCCTGATCTCTGGGCCTGGCCCAGAACCCGCTAGGCCTCCCATTCCAGTGTTAGCACTGCCCAGGGCTGCTCCCACAGAAGTGTAACCCTTCTCATCTGAGGCAGGTCTCAGGCTTTGTGGTCCTAGGCTCCCACACCTCCCCACATTATCAGAAAAGCTAGGTTTCAGCACCAAAGTACCAAGCACATCCTGTCTCTCCTTAGTGGTTTTAGACTCGCCGGAGACCAGACACGAGGGGCTTTATTCATGTCACATATTTAGCTGTTAGACATGGGGGAGACTTGAGTGGGTTTTGCACGTGGAACCATCCTGCCCGCCCTTGTTGCCATGCTGCCTGGTGGCTGTTCTCCAGAGGAAAGGCCTCAGTGGTCTTGTCCTCCAAGTGCTCGGCCCTCCCCCTTGGCCACACAAGGCCCTCTGTTGGCTAATCAGGGCCTTCCCCTTGTAGTTTCTGTGAGGAGATCAATCTTATTGGGGGGCAGGAGGGCTAGCAGAGGTGGTCTGAGAAGATGGCTCTTGCCTAAGAGGCTGGGAGGACTGTCCACAAAAACCTAAGGCCACGTCCCCTTCTTAGTGACCAGATGGTCCCATTCCACTGCAGTCAGCTTGGGGCCCGACTAAAGTGGACTGTTGGGGTAGGGTGTTAATTTTCTAGGGTTACTGATCAATTTGGCAGATCATCCGAACCCAAGGCAGCTGTGGGCTGGGCTGTTGCTCAGCCTTTTCGCCAGCAGAGGGCAGCATAGCACACATGAAAGGTTGGGTGGGATTCCCAAGGGCAGAGGTGAGAACAAGGGACAGGGCAACAGGCAGGACCCTTCAGACTCCTCAAGTCTCAGACTCGTCTGTCTCTTCCGTGGAGCCATCGCTCTCTACGTCCACTTTGCGGGAGTGATGGAGGGGTCTCCAGGGAGAGGCAACCCGAGGAGGGGTCCGGGCAGGCAGGCAGCTGGCTTCAGGGTTGGCAGTGACTGAGTTGACCAGGCCTGGGACCTGGGCCAGCCTGAAAGAGGGAAGCAGCTCAGGGCAGCGGCGGTGCCTCCTGTCCAGAGCCAGTGCCTCTCGCTTCGTGTTCCCTTGCGTGGACCCACAGGCTCTAGCCGCATAGGACTCAAAGGAAAGATGTCCCAGGCCTCTGCTGGCCCTTCAAGCCTGTCCTGACCAGCATGGGGGGCTCTGACCAGCCTTGTGAGCCATTATGGGGCATGGCTATGGCCAGCTATGGCCAACTATGTCTGGTCCCCACAAGGGGGCAGCATCTCCCCACTTGACACTTACAGACGTTCCAGTTCCTCATCCATGGCTGGGTCATGCATCAGGTCCCCTTTGTCAGGCAGAGCTCCTAGAAGATAGTTGGGGAGACACAACATTTAATCTTGAGGGTCTTTGAGCCAGATGCCCATGGTGCTGCCCTGTTCCCAGCAGGCAGGTAGGTCTGTGCCTTCCCCTTTGTGTCTGTCTTGTGAACCTGGGGATACTGACCTAGATTCTGGCAGGAGCTTCTCAGAGGTGTGGAAGGATTACTACAGGGGCCCTGGAGCAGGTCCCGAGGACGACCTGACAACACTGCCTACCTCTACCTGCTTGGGGCAGAGACCACAGCCAAGGAGACTTCTGAACCTGAGCTCACTGCATAGGCGGGGCTTCCCTCTTCCAAACTCGGTGTGGCTTGTCAGCTAGGGCTCACGAGAAAGAGTTTGTTCTGGAGGTCTCAGGTACTAGGTGACAAAGGTGCCAGCAACATTGAACTTGGCCCAGGCTGACAGGGAAACCAAAGACCCCTGCCCTCCCCACAGAGCTGCTTTTGACAGCAGCCCCATAGGACAGAGTGCGACTGCCCCAGGCAGCTTCCCATGCTGCAAGTCTTCACAGAAGTGGACTGCCACAGCTTTCTCCGGAATGACGAGTGGGTTTGAACTGCCAGCCTTTCACTTAGCCACACACTTCATCACTGCACCATGGGGGTTTCTGGTCTGACAACAAAGACCAGAAATGACTAGTGCTCAAGTTCAGGATGGCCCACCATTGACACAGAGATGGTTGAAACTGTGGCTCCAGGGCAGGCCCCAGGAAGGAGGGGAGGCTGGGGCAGGATCACACAAACTCCATTCTCTTAAGAGCAAAAGGGAACCAGTCCAGTTCTGCTCTGCCGTAAATCTCAGATTTCAGGACAAAATCCAATTTCTCCATGTTGGGTTCTTTAGCTGTAAACGTATTGGTGCTCACCAGGCCCCTGACTCAGTGCTGCCCCCATGCGCACAGAGCACGATGCTGTGATCCCCATGAGCAGCTACTAACTGAACGCTTCCTACCCAGTGGGTTTTCACTAGCTGAGTTTTAGAAGTGATCACCAGCTTTTCGTCTTTGTTCATCTTCTGGAAGCTCTGACTGAACCTGCTTAGTATCACAGCAACGAGCATGACCCCTGACATTCAGGCAGGTGGTAACTCTCCACGTCATGGTGAACTGGCCAGAATCAAACCCTGGCCTATGCAAGACAACACTTCTACCACTGAACCACCAATGCCCCTCAGCTAGACTCTCACTAATGGCAGGTAGTTTTTGATACTAAGGAGAAGAGAGGAGAGGCTCTTGGATGCTCCTAGGAGTTGTGACTGAAGTTTGCAGATAAAATTCTCACTAGCAAACTGTTAGGGAAAAGAGCTTGCTGGTGTTTAGAAATTAGACATGGAAGTCAACAATTCTGGTCTATAGAAAGACTAAAAATTACCCATCTGTTCCATTCTAGATCCTGACTTTTCTAAACCTTTCAAGTGATGCCTCTTCCTCACTTTTTCTCTAAGTTGGTGTTGTTTGGTGCTGTCGAGTCGTAGAGGACTCATAGCGACCCTATGAACGAATGGCCTGAGCACTGTTCGTACATTTCTCTAAGTTAGTAGTTTTAAAATTATGTCACACGGAAGCTTCTCATTCTTTGAGAGTGTCTCAAGGACCAAAGAATAACACTAATCCTCTCTCCAGCCAGCTTCAACCCGGGTAGCTCCAGCTTTCTGTTTTTATATACCACAGTTCCAGGTGAGGACAGGGACATCTGCTGCCTTCCATCTCCCGCTCCCCTAGCACTAGGGCTCAAGGTGGTGAGAATCCTTTTTGAAGACTTTTAGAAGCCAGCAGGGGAGGTCAGGCCAACCTGTGACCCATTCGCTAGTTTTTCCTATTCTTCCATAGTGACTGTGGTTGGTGCAAAGGAGGGGCCGGTAGCAAGTTACCCAGAATATAATACAAAACCAAAGTAACCCCCATGCTTTTAATCTTATAACTTCGATTTTTCCTCCTTTCTAATCTTTGTCCTTTCTAATCCAGTGACCTCAGCTACCAAGCTCATGTGGATGGCCCTCAGACTGTGTCGACCCCCTGCGCCCCAGTAGGATGACTGGCCTGGTAGCCCTTTCCCTAGGAGAGCTCAAGGGAGGAGCTGGGTAGGCAGAGAAGACTTGAGGATCAGGAACCCAACCAGTACAAAACAACGAAAACCGGGCTGTGCAGGCCTCCCCACTTTTTAAAACTCCCTTTCAGTTTAATCAGATTCCTGCCCGCCCCTCAGCTGGGTAAAAAGGGCTCCACTGACACACCTTTCTGTATTTACAAATGGGATTCAGGTCTCTTTGATATATAATCAGCAGAGTCACTGAGTAAATAGCCCTGTGTCTGCCCAACCTGCTGGCCACTCCTCAAGGCAGAGTTGGGATTCTATAGGGAGAGGCCGATTCATGTTGGGGCAGGGCCCTGGGTGGGGACGGCTGGCCCTTAGCACTGCAACGTGAGAGGCCTAAGAGGGCACAGTCCCCCTGGGACTCAGAAGCTGGCTCTGAGATGTCAAAGAAGAGCCGATGATTTCTCCTCCCTGTGGGGACATGTTTGCTCACGAGGCCAGCTCCTGCCTGGCTATGAATTGTGGAAGGAGGGAACTGACCGCAATTAGCTCTGCTCACCTAGGGCTTGGTTGATCCCATGATGCTTTGAGAGAGCCACAAGGAATCCATAGAAGGTCAGTCTCTGGACGTTGCTTAGGACTTCTTTGACAAGTGCTGGAGGTGGGCAGCTAGAATGAAGAATCCAGATACGCCAGTTTAAAGGACAAGAATGTCTGAGTTCAGTCTCCTCATCAAAATCAAGGGATGTGCCTACTTGAGAGCCTTCAGCCCTTGAAGGAACCTGGCATAGGTCCAGAAGCAAGGCCTTGACTGTAGACAGGCCTGCTGGCAGGCTTACCAGGGGCTTTCACTAGGGCAGGGAATTGGGGAAGAAGAAGTGGCTAGAGACAAATTTGTCTTGGAGACCAAAACTGGTTGTTCTGTTCTGTTCTGAAGCCAAGTTTTATACAGTGGTGGTCTCTCCTTTCTGAACAGTCAAGGCCAGTCTGTATCCTGGTAAGAAGTGGGCCCACCTGGTCATGGGCAACTATCTTGCTCAAGTGAAAGCAGTTCTTCCTAAGCATGCCAGTTGGGGAGCCTCTCAGCTCCCTAATTTAGGAGGAAACCAGGCTGTTCTAATTCAAGGCCTCCAGAAGCGCTTGGACTAATGAGAGCATCTGTCAGGGACCTGTTCCACAGTCAGCCAGCGACAGTCCCTGGGGCTGAGGAGGGTCTGTGAGCCCATCTCTCACCTGTACTTGTGCCGGTCACACAGGCTCTCCAGGCACTGGCAGAACAGGGACGCCTCCACTCCCTCCAGCATGCTAGCCTCACCCAGGCCAGGCCGCTGGCGGTGCTGTCCGCTGGATGATGTTGGGACAATCACTGTATTGGGGTTCTTGCCCGCTAGCAGGTCCTGGTAGATGGTGGCCACATTCTCCAAGAATTCTAGGTACCACAGTGGGGCAGAGTTAGGCAGGGAGGAGATATGTGGGTCTTCCCTCTGTCCTTCCCTCTCCCTTGCTTGTTATCCCAGCCACGCCTCAACCTCCATGCCAATGTGTGGTGTCCTGAGAATAGAGCCTTCAATCTCGCTTGACCAGCACACTCAAGACAAAGAATACAAATGTGTGTTTCCCCTTAAATGCCCATCCATCCATTCAGGGTTTCCTAGCCTAGGCTGCACTCCCTGGTGACCACCTCCACTGACTTTCTGGTAGCCGTTATCCAATGGCTAGTTTTCGGTAGTTGTTTAATCTGCCTCTTTGCTGGGATGTAGGATCCTTACTTTGCACAGTATGCAGCCTTGTGTCTGGCACGTGCTAAATGCTAGTAGTAGTTTCTGAAAGCTGTGAACAGGAGCATGCTCCTCCTGGTCCACCTCATGGTATGAGGCCACCCGCCGGACTCAAGAAGCAATAATGGAATGTTAGTGAGAAAGAAGGAAACCTGTGACCAGCTATTTTAGTAAATGTGTGAAGACTGGCTCTCATTTTAGTAACTGGATTACTGTGAGTAACCAAGGTCTCAGGGCTCATCTCCTCTCTGATTGGCACACGTGGCTGTTTGGTACTGTGACACACAAGTACCCACGTACCACCCTGTCCCTCTGGGAGGGCCATGAGAAGACAGGCAGTGTCTAGGGCCGAGACTTTAGAGAAATGAGAAAAATGTTTGGAGCTGCCAAGAGCAGAGAGTGAACCACCAGGCTCCAGCCCCTGTCTGCCCAGGCCCTGGGTGGTCACTGAGGGAGCCCAGGGCTGGCTGAGACCACAGCTAACAGGAAGGCCACCTTCTAGATCCAAGAACAGCCTCCTATTTACAGCAAGAGCCCTGTTTTAAACAACTTTGTTTATGGACATAGCAATTTCCAAACCCAACATTCCATTTGATGTGACTGTGTGTGAGGTGGTGTGCATTTTGTATGTACCCATTTATTTTTTCACTCTACCTGATTCCAGAAGGGATTTAAGGGCACCGTTGATGTGCCTGGAGAGCAGGGTGGGAGGAGAGGTCAGCCTTGGGGGCGACGTGTGCCATGGACACAAGTTAGGGACGTCACTGTAGATACAGTGAACAGAATGGCTGTGTGAGGGCTTCTCTGGCTTCAGATCAGCCCTCTTTTCAAGCCTGGGCTCCACCACTTCTTAGCTTAGCTTGCTAGACTTTGCAAGTTGCTAAACCTTTGTAAGTTTATCACTTGGAAATACCCATTTTCAGGGTTGCTGTAAGGATCAAAGTGCTTAGTGCTTGTTTGGCTTATACTGTATTTCAGTAAATAGTGACTGAGAGTGTTGCTATCGTTGTCATTCTCACGACTGACTTGGGATGCTGGTGCCTGGAAGCCCCAAGGGGGCCGAGGAAGGAGGCCCGCATCTGGTGGCCACCAGCGGGAACAAGACATCGTGCAAGGGACTGACACGAAACATAACCACCATGGCCCACAGAGGAGGGGGAAGGGAAACATGCGTGCTGGACAGACAAATGGAAAGGCCCCAGGAAAGGAGAAGAGGACTAGATCCCAGACAGGAGCCCATACATGGGCTGTAGAAAGCTTACCTGAGTAGTAAAATTGAATCTGAAAGGCAAACAGGAAGTCAGAAAAGGACATGAGACAGTCCATGGCGTCGTCCATGAGCACGATCCTGCGGGGAGAACACTCGGCCGCTGTGAGTTGGATCTGACCCGCGGGAAGGCCACGTGGGTCACTGCAGAGCCATGCTCCGCAGGACTGTGCCCACTCCCCCCATTGAGAAGATGCCAAAAGGACAGATAGCACCGCCACGGTGTCTGACACAGCCGTGCACCCTTCGACCCTCCTCTTCAGAGCTGCCCCCTTCCCTTAACTCACTGCCCATTCAGTTTCCTGTCCAATCTGTCTGGTTTCATCAAGTTGACCCCAATAGTTCTTTAAAAAAGCACAATGCTCAAGGCAGACAATTCTTTTCCAAGAAGCTAAACTAGTGTTTGTTAGGTTTTGAGTGCTGGCTTTCTGGGAATAGATTGCCAGGGATTGCTTCTCAGAAGCCTCGGGGTGGACTTGAACGTCCACACTTTTGTTAGCAGCCAAGTGTGTGAATCATTTGTACCACCCAGTGCCTTCTCAGGAGGAGAAAGAGAGGAAGGGAGAGAAGTGTGTATAAGAGTGAAAGAAAGAAACTGTTTTGTTACTGGATCTCCAGTCTTCCCTCGAGCAGCAAGAAACATTTGGTAGAGGGCTCCCCAAAGCCAGCTCCTCCCAGTCACCTCACACTTTCTGCACTGACTGCACTGTACCAAGAGCGGGCTCACTGTTCAGTCTTGGTGGCACCAGCTAGTGGATGGAGCATGGGGAGGGGGGCAGGAGGGGGCGAGGACACGGTGCAATTGTAATGCAGCCAAGATTTCTTTTCATATACTTAAGCAGTAAATCCCTTCATCCTGCAGTGAGGACCATTTAGTTCAGAATAAACACAGCTGATCAGAAAAGGCAAAAAGAACAGCCAAGAGGTTTAAAGGGGTCTTGGCAAGTGGCACTGCGATTTAATAAGCTCCGAAAGGGCCAGAACTGCCACAAGCTCCATCATCCTGGGACACTGATGGCAGACAAGGGGAGAGGGTGAAGAGCTGTTGGGGAGTCTGCATTTGAGAGGGTCAAAGAACACACCCCGTCTCCTGGCGCCATGGAGGCCACGATGCTTCTAGCTGTCCACTCTCACAAGCTGACTACCTCCGGATTTTTTTCCTCTCCAGTCCCTCCCACTGGGCACCCACCTCACAGAAAGAAAACCATCTGATTACTAAAGGGATCAGAGCAAGGCCACGTTCATCCTCTGCTCGGGCCCTGTCCCAGAGGAGAGTGAAACGGAAGGAAATTAGCACTCACTGGGCTCTGTCCTTGTGCCAGGCAGGGGCCAAACTCAGCCACTGGAGCGGAATGAGGCCCAGTCTCTTTCTGACGGGCCTTTCTGGCTTTACCTTTACTTAAAAGAAAACATTTGTTTTGCTCGCTTGTATATTTTTCTTAACTTCTTTTTACTTCCCTGTGTCAGAGGGTCTCCAAACTGGCATCTGAATCAGCCCTTGAGATGACAGACTTTGCAGACACGAAGTGAGAAGGAGTTGGAATTGTGTGAGGCAGCTGGCCTTGTCTTCAGACCTTCCAAAGCCAGCAAATGAGGCCAATCTAGTTTTAGTTATAATAACGTGCACAGACACCCTTGCTAAGTGGTTACTACCGGGCAGGCAGTCCTGGTGGGGTAGTGCGGAACATGTCGGGCTGCTATCCAGAAGGTCACAATTCAAATCCACCAGCTAGCTGCTGCGTGGGAGAAAGACGGGCAGTCTCCTCCCATGAATATGTACAGCCTTGGAAAGCCAATGACAGATGGCCAGGAGTAGAAACGGACTTGATGGCAGTGGGTCTGGTTTTGGGTTTGAGGACTATATGGAAGGCACTGTAAGTGCAAGGTACTTAAATACATTTCATCCAACAACAAACAGTCCTGTGAAGTAGGCCTTGTTGCTGTTTTCATTTTAAAGGTGACAAATCTAAATTTCAGACAAGGCTGCAAATTAGTTCACCCTGGTTTGGATGTGGCTAACAAGTAAGGCTAGAACAGATATAAAGTTTTAAAATGTGAGCGAAACAGAACATTAATGCAAATGGGGAAAATTACTGGTCATTGAGGAAGGACATCATGCTCAGAAGAGTGGAGGGCCAACGCAGGAGAGGAAGGCCCCGGATGAGATGGACTGATACAGTACTGGGGCAATGGAGGTTGGTGTGTTGCTGTGAGACTGGCTCAGGACAGGGCAGGCTTCAGAGCTGCTGTACACAGGGAGCTTTGAGTTGTAAGTGACTCGATGGGACATAATAACAAAAAACCCCCAAGACTTGTTAGAAACACAGTCTCCTTAGAAAACAAGGGAGCATCTTTGTTGCATAGCAACCAAATCTCTTGGTAGGCTGAGTAAAACACAACATTGGCCAGCTCAAAGATGGCAGCTGACCAAACCACGCTGAATGTACATCACTGTCCACAGTCCTGGGAAGAATATAATGTCAGAATTTTTGAGTCTCCAATTCTAGAGTTTCAACACAGAATTCTTCCCGCTATTTAACATTTTGGATAATCCTCACCTGCAATTAAATGAATGAGTGAATGAGTAAGGGGAAGTTTGGGTCTTTTCCTATTTTATTTCAACAGCCATGACTGAACAAATTCAAATTAGCTTAAGGTCCTGGTTCCACAGAAGTCAGTTAGCCCAAAGTTACAGAACTGGGGAGTCTGCTCAATTGCATAGTCCACAAACTTTCCAGGAAGACAAACTGGTATTTTTTCTTAAGACTAAAAAGATACACAGAATATAAATACTAACTTTCCTCCCTTTAGTTTCTGTGGCCAATTTATCTTCTTTTTGTTAAGTTTACTATCTCATTTAACTCCTCTGCCCACTTATTCCCCCCACCCCCGCACCACTTATCTCTTGTTGGGGGGAAAAAGCTGCCGTGATTATCAAAGAAGCTGCACTGCAATCCCAGAGGTGTGCGGTTCAAATCCACCAGATGCTTTGCTTGAGAAGGAGGGGCAATGTCCTCCTCCTGTACCAGTCAGATCTGATTTGACGGTACACAGACACAAAATAATAAAAACAAACAAACAAACAAACAAACAAACAAACAAACAAACAAACAAACAAAACACAACAAAACAACAAAATCCAAACTCACTGCCCTTGGAGTCAATTCCAGTTCATGGTCACCCTTCATCGGGTTTTCAAGGCTTTAAGTCTTTATGAGAGGAGACTGCCTTATCTTTCTCCTGTGGAGCTGCTTATGGATTCAAACCACCAAGATTCTGGTTAGCAAGTCCAACTCCCAGAGTTCATTGTTAAATTTTTTTTTCTGGAAGAAAACCAAGGCCACATAGTGGGAAGAAGTGCTGCTACTGACCACTGGAGGGTGCCCTAGTCCCTCTATCAATGATGGGACCAACAGGCCAAGTGTTGATCTCCACGTCTTGCTTCCCATTACCTGAGGGGAACCCAAGCAGTCAAAAAGGAAGCGAGGAGACATAAAGCTGACATTCTGATATCTAGATGGAGAGGAAATGTGGGGAGAGAGAGAGTAAAGAGAGGGAAGGAAGAAGGGACTAGAGTTAGCAAAGGAGAGAGTTCTCCCAGAAGCGCTCAGGGAGGAAGAACAAGGCACCTCAAATCTGATGTTCCCAGGCTCAGCAGGAAGGAGAAGGCCTGACATTACCATGGGAGAGCCAGGCTGAGAGCACCCCCAAGAGGGAAGCTTCTGAGGGGAGCCAAAGCCTTTGAAGTGTTACAGGGCTCCTCCTCTTATTCCACCACTCTGGAGCCCACTGCCCTGTTCTCAGCAGTTGCTGCCATTCGTTCATATGAGAGAGATCTCATGAACTACAAATTCATCCTTTACAAGTGAACTCTTTTCAAGTACACTTGAAAAATGTGGAATTGGCAAATGTGTTTTTTATATGTAAATTACAAAACACACCCCCAAAGCAAATGTAAAAGTCAGTGGTTCTTAGTATATTCATGAAGTTGTGCAACCTTCACCCCTATCTGATGCCTCCACTTTTAGTGAGTTTTAATTCTTTAATTTGCCTCACTTTTAATTAGTCACCATGCTCCCAAGACAGGCTGTGCCACACCTCAGCTTTGAAGCTGATGCCATCAGATCTCCCTCTCAGCACAGGTAGAGCTGGAAGCTCCAAACAGGCCCTGCCCGTCCAGCTCCAGCACCAGCCTGCAGCTCTTCATCCACAGCCATTCCTGACTTTGATCGTCAGCGTCTGAGGAGACTGAGCCTGGGCTCTGGGAGGGCAGACATACCTGCTCAGCACCCTTGGCTGGCAGACGCCTTCTCTGGTCAGGAGGAGCCAGTGGGCATCCTGGGGAGGCAGACCTTGGCAGGGACTGGCTTTCTGAGAGAGACGTGGCTGGAGCCCACCCACAGGTGTGAAAGGGCTGAGGGGTTTTCCTGATTGCCAGCAGGGAGGATGGCTGCCAAAAAAGGCAGTTGGTTCTCTACTTTGATTAGTAGCAATGCCACCCACTAGTCTGCACTGCCAGAATCGTGGGGGTGTCATCCTGGCCACCTGGAAATCCCTCCCTCACTTGTGTCCATCAATCACCAGGCCCTGCCAATCCTGTCTCTGAACACACTACACCTGCTCAGATAGCAAGATAATAAGCCTGCACTTGTCCTCTTTCCCTGCCTGGCCTCTGACCTGGTTTCTGGGCAGTGACTCTTGGCTCCTTATAATCCAGTATCCATACTGTGGTCAGAAAGGCTGTCTTAAAAAAATGCGCACTTGACCACTTGACTGTTCCCTTTAAAACCCACATGGTCTTCCCATTGGCCTTAAGAGTTGACTCTTCATTCTTACCGTGGATAAGAGCTCCCTCAATCCACCCCACACCTCCTACACCTCCTCCCCTCACCCTTCTAGGCTCATTACAGGCCACAGGCAGCCTCTTTTACTATATTCCAGCTTCAGAGACCTTTCAGTTCTTCCCAAATGTTATGTTCTTTCCTTCCCCATGTTCTCAGACAAGCCAGTTCCTCGCAATGCTCCCCACTCCCATGTCCTTTTGGACACACTGAAAGATTCTTTTAGCTCAGAAGAAAAAA